CGGCAGCTCGTGTTGACCGTTATGATGATGACGTGTTAGTTGTTATCGTCCTCGTGTTATGATTCTGTAAGATAACTGATACCTTGTTTAGCGAAGTTCTAATGTTCCGGTCGTTGCGTTGAAGACGGTGATGCAGTACGTTAATTGATTACAATGCAAATTCTTGTATTGGCGGTGATGATCTTGTGCATCTGAATCGAATCTACTGTTATTCTACACCTGAAGCGTCTCGGAAGTGAAAAGATCCTCTAAGTAGTCAATATCGAAGAAGTGTACTTCGACAACTGTGCGCTGCCACTAAAAAGTGGCCTGAAAGTTCTTGCAGCAAATGACGTAGTTTCCCTGTCATTTTACAGTTGAGTGTACTAGCCGTTGTAAGAGTGACGGACCTCGTTCTTTAGATCGATTAACTACTTCTGTTTGCACATCTGGATGCTTGTTCTGTTCATCGATTATTCCTGGGCTGTTGATGGTTTTACACTGAACTTGTGACGATTTCAGGGTCTTTCTTGGAAAGCTGCTTCCGCGAAGACGTCTTTGTTGCCTGGTTTTGGTTTTGATGCTCGTCTTGATTGTTCTGGTGTACTGCTTTTCCTTCTACCATGCAATCGAATGCACCGACGTGAACAAACTCGTGACTTTGCGGCGGAACGAAGAACATACACAAGTAATCGTCAATAAACAGGAGTTCTTGCTGAAGCACATTCCTTGTACGGTAAATGGCAAAGATGAAGACTTTTGTCTGCGCTCCGTTGATAAAAACGAAATCTACTTGCCATTCAATGGTTTCATACGAAAATATTTCGACGTAAGTTTTTTTACGAGTTTCATGAAGTGTCATTGATTTGATTTCGCTAACGGGCGTCGCCTCAATGTGTCTAAGGCTGAATTTGCACGATGAGTAGTACACAGGTTCAAACATCAGTTGATCTCTCATTTCATTCGATGCATGTTAACAACGATCTAGTGACCAGCATTTCGTTCTCTCACCTAGCTTTTCTCAGGAAAGGTGGTGAATCATTACAGGTTCGACATCATAGCATATGAGCGATAGCTCGACGGCAAGAATCACAGCGATTACTTCAACTAGTTTCTATCATAGCATGTCAACAACAGTTTCCTAACTTCAAGTTAAGCAATTAAATATTTAGGTGTCATTTTATTATCTGACTTAATGTGGCATTCTTATGTCCATTCAGGTATGATATTGCCAAACATTATTTTATGTAAAACCATTAGAATTATCCGTGTATCGCACAATTCATCAAAAAGTTCATATTTGCATGTGTTCTGCTGCTCAGCATCTACGCATCAGCGGTTGTTTTTCTGGCCTACTCAGAGATGGCTTCAAGAAATTGAGGCAATAATTGAAACATGTTTAGATTCAATAGTCTTTCACGTACTGATCACTTAAGCGCATTGTTCATTCAGTGATTTCTCATCAGTGTCTTCGGAAATAGTAATCATTACCCCACAACTAACTCTCACAGTGTCTATTATGAAGTTCATGCAACAGATGTATGTGTATGAGTACTTTTGTCTGTGCGGAACCGTAACAAAAGTCTATAAGCCTAATTTCGTTTCAGATTCTTTAAATTCCAAATGAAGCAGCACTAGATGAAATCTTTCTCTCTGTGGCATAGTTCTCTTTCTGCTTGCCTTCATTTTTTCCCGGCTATCTATTTTCTATGTCAATGTTTGCTGATTTGTTTTTGGTTAATTTGTTCACCTTGTTTTTTTGCTCATTCATTTTTTATCGAATTTAAAAAAAGGCTCTATTGGAATAGAAGTGCAGTTCTCTATTCTTTTATGTATGTAGCGTTTTCAGTCAATTTACTGTATTTATTTTTCTGAACAATGAAATTCTAGTGGTCTCATTCATTCAGTGACGTTTCTTTCATTCATGCAGGATTTAGGTAAACGGATCCGTGAAGCAAAACGCCAAAGGTGTCGAATCATTCCAGTTTCTGCACAGCTATGCTAAGCTTCACAGACCGGATTTCAAGGTGTACGACCCTTTCGGGCCGTACGGTCAGTTTGCCATGTACAACGTTGCTGAAAGGGACCGCGTTTTCTGCATTAGCGGACGCTACGGTATGTCATGGTTTTTTTGTTATTATTTAGGTTTACCTTGCTTTTTGTTGTATATTGGCACAGTATATAAAAAGATTGCTTCGAACTTTGGAAGATGTCGGAGTTCGATTCCCTCCAGGACAATCTTTGTCAAATTTACCAATTCTTTTGAACAAGGAAGTTATTACAGACCGCAGTTGCTCGGTCGATACAGCGTCGAACTCAGATCTGATAGGTCCTGAGTTCAAGTCCCACTCGTTCTTCTTTCGAGGTTGATAAACGAGTACCACTGTGTGGGAAGAAAATAGGAGACTAACTTTACGATTGCCACATGACTGTAGACTCGGCCTTTAGAAAATTAGACACTCCTGGAT